ATGGAGGTGTTTCAGGCTTTCAGAGAATAACAATAGAGCCTCTTTAAGATAAGTGTATTTATATACATGTATTTGATATACATGTATTTGATATGTTTTTTATTCCTGTGTCTCTGCAGTGCCAGATCTCCCAGGCCCTGAACGGAGTCTCCGACAAAGCAAAAGATGCGAAAGAGTTCCTGATCCAACTGAAGAACCTTCTGCAGCAGATACAGGTAACACCGTAACACCAGACACTGCATCCTGGGTGAAATACACGCTTCATACTTTTAGATAACGGGTTGTCTATGTAGTTTTATTATATTCAATTATTTTGTCATCAGTTACAAATTATGAGTGTATTTGGAGGATTTATAAACTAAAAGGTAAAAGTTACACATTACTGCAGTAACATGGCCAGAATGCAATGCAGCTACAAAACAATATTAACCTGTTAAGCCCAAGGTCCCCGTCGGCGGGAGACCCTGTTTTTTTTTCACGACACTGTGTCTCAGGGGATCTTAATATTTAAAAACCTATTAATGTGTTATACCAGATTAACGGGAATAATCTCAGCTAACTGACGATACAAACCATTTTTACCAAAACAAAACACAAGTCTCATAAGAACCATCTAAATGAGCAAAGGTTAGCTGCTAATGGTAGCCACCAGAGTGGCTGCTGCTTCCGGTCTTGGCTATGCGGCAGTCTAACACACACACATTACCAAATAAGGACTATGTGGGTGTTCCCCTCGATTCCATTGGCTCTGACGGTCAGAAAGAGATGTCACATGTCAAAATCCAGCAAGGGGGGCCAGAGATATGAAAAATCCACCCAAATGGCCCCACAAGAGGGTTTATTTTGCTAAATCTGTGTAAAAAGGTCAAATATCACTTGTTTTGCATCAATCTTGATACAGGGTACTTATTATATGTTGTACTTTGGATTCCTAAAGCTTTCAGTCTACTAACCCAGCATCCAAGGTTAGTTTTCACTATAAGTACAAAATATTTGTTGGACGGACACTATAATTTACAGTTTTTTACCATGTTTAATCTGAATTTTCTTTAAAATAAAAAACATCTATATTGAATCTGACTTTTCTACATCCAACTCACAGGTTTATCATTACTTTGAGAACAAAGATTATTAATTTAACCCTTTTAGAAGGGAAGATATGGTCATTTGTTCTGGGAATGTCATTTTCGAGCCTGAAACCTGAAAAACAGGCTCGGGGCTTAACAGGTTAAGGAGAGTATCAAAGCAGATAATCTTCCTTTCACAAACCTCTGTTTTGTCTGTGTGTTCTCAGGGTGTTTTGAATCAGAAAAGCGTGACAGAAACTAGATTAATTTTGATACTAACACACTAAGATACTAAGGGAGACTTTAGCGGTGCCCCAGTTCCATACTAATGCTAATCAGGTTTTGATTATGTCGTGTAATTAGACAGAGAATGCCACTAAATGAAGTCTAATTAAGTGTGCATAGTTCAAATGTGTTTGTGTGATGAAACTGCTACAGAAAGGTCTCTAGAAATACAGTTTAAGATTCAAAGGCTTTATTTCTTCACACACACACTAGCTGAAGTGTTGTTTGGCAATATAAATTACATTGCATTTACAGTAGCTGACGCTTTTATCCAAAGCGACTTACAATAAGTGCGTTCAACCAAGACGATACAAACTTGAAGAAAACAGAATCATATAAGTACATCAGGTTTCATAGAGCAAAAACATTTCAAGTGCTACTCAACTGGCTTTAGATAAGCCAGTCCTTTATTAGTATATAAGTGCTTTGTTAGTGATTCTATTGCTCGAAGTGGAGTCGAAAGAGATGAGTTTTCAGTCTGTGCCGGAAGATGTGTAAGCTATCAGCTGTCCTGATGTCAATGGGGAGCTCATTCCACCATTTTGGAGCCAGGATAGCAAACCCACGTGTTTCTGCTGATGGGAACTTGGGTCCCCCTCGCAGCGAGGGTGCAGCGAGCCATTTGGCTTGATGCAGAGCGGAGTGCACGTGCTGGGGTGTACGGTTTAACCATGTCCTGGATGTAGGAAGGGCCAGATCCATTCGCAGCATGGTACGCAAGTATCTTGAAGTGGATTCTAGCAGTTACTGGAAGCCAGTGAAAGGATCTCACCACAAAAAGTCAAAGGCTCCTGCAACAATGCAATATAAAATATATATAAATATACCTAACATATAAGTAAGAGACATAGTAAAGTGCAATAAAATAGGGCAGTCAAAAATGAATAAATAAATACTGTAGGCTAGAATACATACTTTATATATAATAAACAAATAGGTGGATATGAAGACTAAACAGATGAAGATTTACTGTGTATTATGAACACACTGTATTATGTGAACATTGACACTTCCCAGAGATCGGGAGTAAAGGATGTCATTTTCTGTTTCTAATAAGCATGGTGTTTTCTTGTGTACTAAAAAATGTTTACAAAATATATAATGCAGAGATGATATAGTACACACGTTATTTGCATTTGTACAATGCACATTAATAAGCACAAGCACTCGAGTCCATCATGTACATGTGCCAGATTTATATATAGAGGATTCAGGGCCTCTGCAATCCCTGGCAGGTTGATAGCATTAGAAGACAACTTATAAGAGCACAGACAAAAGCACAATTAAACATATAAGCACAACTGCAGCACATATTAAAGCCCAATTGAAAGCCCTAATATAAAACCCCATGGACACAGAACAGATCGGCACAGACAATATGAAAAACAATGATATGACCCTTACTCCAGTTTTTGACAGCATTATTGATTGTCCACTAACCACTGCTTTACATATGAGCAGTGAGAATGCTGATGTTCGGTGCTGGGATCTTATTTTGCAGCATTTCTGAAAGTGTTTGTTTCAAATCCTCAGGATCTCCATGACGGCCTGGCTGTGAGAGATTGGACCAAAACCAACATCCATGTCTGATCAGTTACCCCCACATGCAGGGGTCTTTACATAATTTACATCAGCACCAACGTGTTGTTATCTAGACTAAATACATTTTTGCTTTGGTGATGCTGGTAATGGGTAATAAGCTCCAGTCAGTCCCATTTGGTCTCCTCACACTGAGCAGCAGGAGGATAAATCCACTAAATCACCAAATAAAGCAAACCATACAGCCAAATGTGAGCAGTGTGTGTGTGTGTGTGTGTGTGTATACTGTGTGTTGGTGTGTGTGTTCTCCCTGTAGACAGGCATAGCTGTGCAGCTGATCTCTCACACAGCATCTGCCAGTCATGCACACACACTTCTACACACACTGCACTGTCATATCAGTCGGCCGCAGCACTGTGAGCAGGCATTAAGGGTCTTACTGCACAATGAAGCCGATTACATTTTAATGAAAACAACAACTCTGACTGAATAGTGAGAGAGGGATGGATAAAGAGGAAGAAAAGTGTAATGAAGATCCCCAGCACTCATCCTCTTATAGATGTGTCCCACAGAGGAGGAAACTGATTGGAAATCTTTACTATCTAAGACCTCATCATGTGGGCTCAATGCAGAACAACAGGAACATGCCCTTGTGGCCTCCTCTTGTTTTAACGGCAAACTACTGCAGTGCAAACCCTCAGAGCATCTTCTCATCTGATGAATCCACTGCACTTTTCTTTAAGAGCACTCAAAGCACTCTGACAAATACAAGTCAGCATTCACCTATTCACACACAGTCATTCACCATTTGCTCTGCCACTAGGAGCAATTTGGGGTTCAGTATCTTGCCCAATGACACTTATGGCGCTTTTCCACTGCAGGGCCTCGCTCGGCTTAGTACGGCATGGCTAGGCCTCGTTAGGCCAGGCTCACTTTATGCTGCGTTTCCATTACAGTTTAGGAACTGGGGCAGTAACTATAGTAACGCAGTGTAGGCGGAGCCGTGACGTCATCTTCAATGCGAACCACAAAACCAACATCAGCCGTTAGCCGTTAGCACTCAGAGCTCACAGCTCTTCATATCTGTTCAGAAACTAGACAAAAGTTAAACAAGTACAAACCACAGACTGCCTGCGTCATGGAGAATACAGTCGCACAAATCATGAAAAAGAGAAAGGACAACATCCTATGTCTCGTTCTTGTAATCATGAGAAGACCAATGATATCATTCTCAATCCATATGCTACACTTTTATGAATGACGATTGTTCTTTTTATTGATGCATGCTCCAGAAATTCTTTTTGGGACGACAAACTCTTGATATTTGTTGACCTAATGTGGCTAAACCCCTGCAACACATTACTGCAATTCCCATTTGGTTGTGTTTATGATTTCTTTGAGAATACACATTATGTCCGGATATTATAGCGAGATCTCAGAGATAGGGTACATTACACAGATCAGGGAGTACACTATTGAGGATAAGCAGTAAAAAGTGCATTACATATTCACACTGAAAGCCTTAACGGGAATTAACGGGAATAAACTGGGAATATTCTAAATTGAAGGTTGGCTCTTCATAGGGAACTTTAATATAGTTGGGGAAAGTATATTTTAGCATAATCTTGACTAAAACAAACAGATGCCATTCAAGTACACTTGAATATCCATGCCATAGCACACTGCTTACTGCATGGCTATTGAGACCACACCCCCTACAGGCACTCTGCATTCCTCCATCACATGCACAGATGATTTCGAGAAGACTGGATCACACTTTTGAGCCCAAAGCACAAGACAAATGAAGCCACATCTTTTCATTTAACATTTTTAATGGGACTTTGTGGGGATTTTTGGATGGGAGGTGCATTTTTGTTCGTTTTTTAATGAGTGGGGTTGGGGGGATGAGTAATATTTAACTCAATATTCCTGTTTTCGTTTTTCAATGAAACAAATAATTGTTCAATAAAAGAATTAAAACGTGTTCTGTTCTGTTTAATTTTGCATCGAATATTTCCAAAATTCCCCAGCTTAACGTCCCATGGAAACTTTCCAGAAATGTACCGGAAAGTTTCCGCCCCTTTGCAACCCTAGTCAACACCGCTCTTTAACAGTAAGGAAGTCGGGATGATCCCCTGAAATAAAACGCATCTTCTTGCTAACAGGAGAAGCTTGTTTAAAAGTGTTTACATGTCAAAGGAAGCCCTCCACGTACGATTTAGCTAAACAAAAACCAGATTTATTTATATTTCGTTAGCAAAAACACTTCTGTGAACTCAATTTTATTGTATTTTGAATTTGTATGGGTATGTAGCTTGAGTGATATTAGTGGGAGTTGTATAACGAAATGGTTAATATGATGTATGAATCGTTTTTCTGCAGTGTATTGAAATAATTAACACTGTATACTAATGTTGTGTGGTGGAAACAAAAATGGATCTGGGTTGCACATTAACATATCGGGAACAAACACAAAGCTGTGCTGCTGAATAAAGAAAAACACACCAACAGATCTATTTTCGTCGCCATGTTTATGTATAGATTATTAATAACTGGGAGCCATACAGAATGCATTTGGGACTCTAAACTATAGCTTTATGTTGGCCACATTTCTTCATGCGATAGACGTTTTGGTGATGATTTCTGCGTGTGTTGTTTCAGGAGAACGGCGTGGAGTTTGAAGCCTGCCTCGTGGCTCAGTGCGACTCTCTGATCGAGGCGCTCACCAGACAGAAAGCCAAGCTGCTCACCAAAGTCACCAAAGAGAAGGACTACAAGCTCAAGGTGGGACTGGGTTATCATTCATTTTCATCAGTGTGTAGCTGCATGTTAAATATCTCAAATCCAATCAAGTTTTATTTATATAGCACATTTCTAAACGATTTTTGGTCGAGCCAAAGTGCTGTACATATAATAAAAATAGCCTACAGTAGAGACACTTTACAGCAAATACAACAGCACAGATTGTTCAGAATATCAGTATGAGAAAAACAACACCCTCTGTCCTTAGACCCTCTGTCCTTAGACCCTCACATCGTACAAGGAAACACTTCCAGAGAAAACCCACAGTTTAAGGGGAACATGGGAGAAACCTCAGGGAGAGCAACAGAGGAGGGATCCCTCTCCCAGGACGGACAGACGTGCAATAGATGCCGTGTGTAAATCCAAGAGATAATACATTTTACAGCATATAGACCGAATGTTAGGAAATGCATGTGTCTGTAATAAGAAGATGAATCCACGAGGATGTCAGCTACAATCCTGTGGAAGCCATCAGGGAGGCAGCATGACGAGACCCAAGGCAGGACCGCAGAGACAGGTTCAGCCACGACCCGAACGTCCACGACTTAATCCAGAACTCAGGATAGAGGATCCAAGACACAGGACTACAGCAAGAGGATCAGCCTCGACTCCGGATCCCGGCGTAGATATAGATACAAAACAAGAAAAAAGATTTGGCTGGGTTAATCGGAACAAGAGAATACACAGACACAGACAGAGAGGGAGAAGGTCATTGGATAAAAGTTATTCTTGATAACCCTCTCGAAAGATCTCATGAACTAGAAGACACGGTTTCATAACAGCAAACAGTTCTCATCTCAAATCAAATCATCTTCAGATAAGATAAGAAGTACTTTATTGATCCCAATTTGGGAAATGTTTGCATTGCAGCGGCAAAAAAAACTAGTTAAAAGACAAGAAATAAACAATCCAAAATGTAAACATCTCAAATAGAAATAAAATAGCATTAAAAAAGTAGAAAATATACATCCACAAAACAAATGTACAATAGCAAGATATAAAGCAGGATATTATATACACATTAAGTGTGTAAGGATATCATTATATCAGATGTAATTTATATAGCCCAATACTACAATAACACTATTGTTTGAGGGGGCTTTACATTGTGTTCAGTGTTTGACATTTAGCATTAAAGGTCACCTATTATGCAAAATCCTCTTCTTCATGTCTCTTCTACATCAACATGTGTCCCCTCTTCTTCATGTCTCTTCTACATCAACATGTGTCCCCTCTTCTTCATGTCTCTTCTACTTCAACATGTGTCCCTTCTTCTTCATGTCTCTTCTACATCAACATGTGTCCCCTCTTCTTCATGTCTCTTCTACATCAACATGTGTCCCCTCTTCTCCATGTCTCTTCTACATCAGCATGTGTCCCCTCTTCTTCATGTCTCTTCTACATCAACATGTATCCCCTCTTCTTCATGTCTCTTCTACATCAACATGTGTCCCCTCTTCTTCATGTCTCTTCTACATCAACATGTGTCCCCTCTTCTTCATGTCTCTTCTACATCAACATGTGTCCCTCTTCTCCATGTCTCTTCTACATCAGCATGTGTCCCCTCTTCTTCAATGTCTCTTCTACATCAACATGTGTCCCCTCTTCTTCACGTCTCTTCTACATCAACATGTGTCCCCTCTTCTTCACGTCTCTTCTACATCAACAGTGTCCCCTCTTCTTCATGTCTCTTCTACATCAACATGTGTCCCCTCTTCTTCATGTCTCTTCTCACATGTGTCCCCTCTTCTCAAATAGTTCCTCTACATCACATGTTGTCCCCTCTTCTTCATGTCTCTTCTACATCAACATGTAGTCCCCTCTTCTTCATGTCTCTTCTACATCAACATGTGTCCCCCTCTTCTTCATGTCTCTCTACATCAACATGTGTCCCCTCTTCTTCATGTCTCTTCTACATCAACATGGTGTCCCCTCTTCCTTCATGTCTCTTCTACATCAACATGTGTCCCCTCTTCTTCATGTCTCTTCTACGTCAACACTGGTCCCCTCTTCTTCATGTCTCTTCTACATCAACATGTGTCCCCTCTTCTTCATGTCTCTTCTACATCACATGTGGTCCCTCTCTCAGGTCTATTCTACATCAACATGGTTGTCCCCTCTTCTTCATGTCATCTTCTACATCAACATTGTCCCCTCTGTGGAAAGAGACTCTGAAAGTTTCAGGAACAAAGATTCTCTCTCTTTTTGTCCTGATCCATTTCTATAAAAACCAGTCTGAAAATGAGCTGATCAGATTTTGCCCACTTTATGATGTCATAACGATGTGTTGTCTTGTGTAACCATTAGCCAATCAGTAACCAAGGTAACCCCCCCCACCCACCTTATCACCTGGATCTCCTCCTAGAGCTCCATTGAGTTATTTGTAACCAAATGTCTCTCAGAGGGGCGTGGGGAGGGGCTCCTTATTTTCATCTAAAGTAACAGACAGAGAATCAGCACTTTGGAAACAGGGCTGAAACAGAGGGGATTATGGGTAATGCTGCAATGACGTGTTTGGTGTTTTCGGCCAATCAGAGACAGGCTCTGTATATATCTGAGACCTATAATGATGAAAAACAATGTACTAGGGGACCTTTAAACAAGGAGAAACTCCCAAAGAAATCCCAGTTAATGGAAAAACATGGAAGAATCTTTGTTGAGAACAACAGAAGAAGGATGATTAGAAAAATATACTTAAATGAAAACAAATTGACACAAATTATAATGTTAACATAAATGAAAAAAGATGGATCCAGGATATTGTGAACAATTTTCCAAGTGCAGATACAAAACATGGACGTCATCTCTTTTTATTAGTTTAGTTTTTCGATGTTAAGTAAAAAAAATGAACTTCCTTCCTTCCTAGCCTGAAGCTTGTGGAATATTTCGGGTTATTTGATTTGAATAAATAGTATGAAAGTCTTGCTGCCTGTCTTTAGGTCTGTCTCTCTGCTTTTACTATCTGCTCCCACACCTGTTTGTCTCCCTTTCTGTTCCAGCACTTATTAGTGTATAATAAGTCAATATAAAATAACTTCAGGTCAAAAATGTGTAACCTGTAATGGGAATAACGGGCTGAATGTGAATATATCTGAATATGACTCAATATGCAACAAAATAAGACGTAAACAAGACATTGAAAACACAACTCTCACAATCAGCAAAATATCATAAATGAATGATAATAACTGAACCTCCTCTAAAATAAACTACGCACAATTGAAATAGTGCAGACAAATCACACAAATTCTCCCTAAATCCACCTCTGGGGTTTCCTAAGTCGTATCACATGGACGCCTGCCCGGCCTCAACGTGCACACCGACCCACTGACTGTCTGGCGGGGGAGGAAGATGGGGGAGGAAGAGGAGGAGGAGGAAAAGGGATTTTTGGACAGAAGCCTCAAGGACAGCTGTTGTGTTTATCTGCAGGCTGGGGGTTGAGATTCATCCAGAGGGCAAAGAGCTGCAGGCTGCAACAAAAGAAGAATGGCTGCATGAAGATGGCTGATAAACGCTTCTGAGTGAATTCATATTCAACACATTGTTTCCAGCCAAATGATATTATTACAGGCTCCTATTCACGATAGAAAATAGACACACAATGGATTTATTGCTTAGTTCCAAATCCAAAATCTGTAGCAGCTGAAAATAACTGTTGTATCAGGCATCTAGCATTCATTATGATTTCATAGAAGAAAGAAAAAAAGGTCAAACATAGATAGTAGACGCATAAAAAGAGACATGAAAGGGGAAATAATGTAAGGGGGAAATGTACTGCTTTTATATGAATAAACGTAATTTGTATAGAACCTTCTGAGCTTTACATGGAAAAGCTCAATTAAAACAAATCACAACCACAATTCAATGAAGTTTGGCCAATTCAAAGTACAACCTAAAACTAAACAAAAATGTATCAAAAAAGACATATAGTTTGTGAAGTGCTTTAAATATAACGGGTAAAAACTATTCCTCTGAATTCATTAAAAACCAAGACGCTACATTACGTACTACATGTAAACACAATTATGTTTTCTACTAAACTCTAAATACAATCAAATATAATAATCAAGATTCTATGATGTTAACCCTTGTGTTGTGTTCGAAAGCTGTTACCGTTCATGACGTTCGCAGGTCAGTTTTGACCCATGATTTATCTCAGTCCAAAACAAAAATAATTACTATCATCCAATATTGTTTTAACTACATCATAACTATAATGCATTCATAACCGTACAATCCTGTTGTAATTTAGTGTTATGGCCCAAAACACATTACACCACATATTGTGCATGTGTGTGTTCAGGTTCAAGTGTTAGTGTATATATTCTTTGAGAAAGGTCGAGTTCCCGAGGGGGGAGGGGGGCAGAGGGAGGGGAGGCCAGGTGTATGTTGGAAACAATTATTGTTACAGTTGATGAAGGGGGAGGGGTGTCTAAAGTCAAAGATGAATCTTGATTGGGCCAAATTTTACCCCGAGTCACCCAAAACAATTCTGCCGGGTCTCCCCAGACCCCAACACCAAATGATACACTTTTTTTTTTAGAGAACTGCTAAAATTGTCAAAATCAGTTTGGTAGTGTTTATATAGCTGTGATATCATGAAGCCTTGTTCCGATACAAAAAACTAGAGCGTAGTTATTATATCATTTTAACTTGAAACGGGTCACGGGAGACCCGAACACAACATAAGGGTTAAAGCATGCATGTGTTTTTGGACTGCATCAACAGTTATAGTTAGTTATACTGCTTTAACTCAACTATGTCCCTTTTATTCTTTCTTAAATGACACTTTTGTGAGTTGGTTACATTACCCTCTACCAATGGTTGCCTCTTGTAAGCTATGCACACACTTCAGAGAGGAATTAATGGTCACTTACGGTCGCGTATTCACTGTGGATTTCTATCAAAACACCCATGACACTCCATTTATTCCTCTTCAAATGTAGGCTACTCTAAACCCTCATAACTACACCACAGACTTT